TCAAAATTGTAACTGTTGACCGATAGAACCAAGGAACAAGTCACATGAAGAGATGATTGTTTTCTACAGTGTCTGCCTCCAAGCCCAGGGCTCTATACTTCTAGCTTCCTTTAAAATAACCCCTTATCCATTCATCATCAAAAGACTTTCTTCATCTATTTAAGCTATACACACTGTCACCCAGGGTACTTTATTGCAAAAACAATACCTAAAAATGGCTACTTCCAAGTAGAACCTGGAAGGAGACAGGAGGAAAAATATAGGGGCTGGCAGGAAATTTAAAAGCAACCAATTACCTGTAGTTTAGTTAATAGAAGTGTAACCATTTCGGTTTCCTGGTTTTGATACCATACTCTGGTTATATTAAGATGTTATCATTGGCTCAGCAGGGTGGCTCATGCCTGTATTCCAAACCCTTTGGAGGCCAAGGCGGGCGGATCACCTGAGGTCTTGAGTTCAAGACCAGCCTGACCTACGTGGTGAAACCCCGTCTTTATTAAAAAAAAAGAAGTTAAAAAGTTGTTATCATTGAGGGCAGCAGAGGAGGGTATATAGAACATCTCTGTGTTATTTTTGCAACTTCTTGTGAGTCTAAAATTATTTCAAAATTTAAAAAAGCTACCAATAAAGGGTCATTTTTTAGGAGGTTAAAGGATTGAGGCCAATAATGACTTTAATAAACTCTTCCTAATTGCTCAGTGTTTCAAAACCACCTTTAGCTTTTGACCACTCTCAATATGCTTTACTTTCCAGTTTATGTACTTTTTAAAGGACTGCACGATCTTTGTTAGGGATTTTCTAAGGTTCTTATCCTGACACGTAGTTTTCAGTATTGAAATAAAATGGAAAACATGATCCTATATTTACACAAGATCCTGCTTAAAGTTTGGCAGTCTTTCAAAAAGTTAAACATAGAATTACCACATGACCCAGCAATTCCACTCCTAGCTATAGAGCCCAGATTATTGAAAACATATGTACCCACAGTAGTGTGTACATGAATGTTCATAGCAGCATTAGTCATAATTGCCCAAAAGTATAGGATGTTAACTGTGGGTTTATTTAAAAAAAAAGAAAAAAGAATTGTCCCACAGTAGAAACAGCTCAAATGTCCACCAACTAAAACGTAGTATATCTATACATACACAGTGGAATATTATCTGGCCATAAAAAGGTATAAAGTACATGCTACAACATGGATGAACCCCAGCACTGGACTCTCCACGTCGACACCTTCTACAAGACACAGCTGCACACAGCACCCACTCTGTGGTTTTGGATAAACATAGGGTCATGGTTTCCATTTTATTTCTAATACCAGAAACCATATCATAGTGCTTAGCAGGAGATGTAGCTATGCCAAATAGGAATGATTTTTTTCTTTAATTGAGCATATGTTAAGTTTTATGCATAAATATGAATTGTATACAAACCTGGTCAAACCATTACTCAAATGGCTTGGTTTTTATTTTCAGACTGGAGCCTCAAACTCCTGGGTTCAAGGGACCCTCCCACCTCAGTCTCCCCTAGTCTTCCCTGTAGCAATGGCGTCTTACTATGTTGCCCAGGCTGGTCTCAGATTCCTGACCTCAATTGAACCTCTCTCCTTAGCCTCCCAAACCACTGAGATTACAGGCATAAGCCACTGCACCCAGCCTTCAAATCACTCTCTAACTCTTCTATGGGGGCTGCTGTAAAGGCCAGTTGATAATCAAGCCAACCATCTCTGCTCACACTCTCACCTTAACTCTGATTTTAAAACTGGTATTATTAAAGTGCTAACATCTTCGGATTTGTGTGATGCAACTCTTTCCTACGTTAAGTCTACCTAAAGAGTAAAGATTTGCCACCATAAGGGATACTTACTTCTTGGAGAGAACACCACAGGCTTTAAGAGCTATTCTAGATGACGAGTTCCAAAAATGTAAGCCAAAACCTCCCTCCACAATGACTCCGAAACTACCAACTCTTTGGAGGTGAGAATTCTGTCCTCATTTTCAAAGATTATTGAATGAAAATAGCACATGATTATAAATACATTATGATAATAAGTAGATGAAAAATATAAAGAGGTAAATAAAGGCAGAGGATACAGTAAAAATGAAAAATACTATTATGTTAAAGTGGATTATTTTCTGGAATTTCATGTTATTGTTATACTGTTACTACAGTAGAAAAAGAAGATACGGCATTCACATTAGTCAATACACTATTCTTATACAACACAGTGTTCCAATATATTGACAGTCTGCAACAACTCCGATATTCCCTTTAGGTCCAAATCCTTGACCCTGCGCCTGTGTTTACATAAGATATTTCTGTTTCCCCAGAGGACATTACCAACCATGTCTCCTCATAAGGGCTCAGGGCATAGCTGACATTTTAACTTTCTTTCTGTTTTTTTTTTTTTTTTTTTTGAGAGGGAGTTTCGCTTTTGTTGCCCAGGCTGGAGTGCAATGGTACAATCTCAGCTCACTGCAACCTCTGCCTCCCAGGTTCAAGCGATTCTCCTGCCTCAGCCTCCCAAGTAGCTGGGATTACAGGCATGCTCCACCACACCCAGCTAATTTTGTATTTTTAGTAGAGATGGGGTTTCTCCATGTTAGTCAGGCTGGTCTTGAACTCTTGACCTCGGGTGATCTGCCCTTTTTGGCCTCCGAAAGTGCCGGGATTACAGGCGTGAGTCACCATACGTGGCCTCGGCTTACTTTTTTCTACCCACTCACACAGCTTTGTAAGAGTTCCCTTCCTTTTCCCTCTCAACTTAGTATCTCACCAAACAAAAAGGCTGAGTGCCGCTTCCAGTGAGAAGGTTTGCAAAAGTCCTGGGCCATCTTACACTCTTCTTTTGTTTCTCATTTTCAAGACAATTAAAACAGACAAAATAAAACATTTCTCAACTATATGATGACTCAGAGCTCTTTAAAGACTCATGGTGCAGACCACACAATGATAGCCACAGCAACAACAATGAGCTTCACTGAGTGCTTACCACATGCAGCACTGTATTAAATACAGTTTTGAGGTACTGAGCACCCCCAGTCAAACCTCCATCTGGTACCCTTGGCCATTGCTCTTTGAAAACATAATTTTAACTTTGAAAAGTTCACTGATACAAAAAGTCCCATTTAAGCCTCTGAACATGCCTGTGAGGAACAAAGGTGACAAAGACCCTAAGATGCTGAAAGATGTAGTAACGTGCTCAGGGCCTTGGAGCTAGGGACAGAGCCAGAGCTAGAACCCAAGAGAGCCAGCCAGATCCATGATCTTTCCACTGCTATGAGGTGCTCTGGAGGCATAAACCATCTACATAAACCATCTACAAACAGTTATTGTCAATGGTTTCCTAGACCATGGGATGGAAGAAATGGCTAAAACTCAGTGAAATGTGAAAAAATCTGCCCCTTCCCAATAGTGTGATACTTTCCAATTTAGCCACATGCACATACAACCTTTTGACATTGCGAGGCTTCTAATATCCAGAATATTAGATAATAAAAGTGATGAACTAGAAACAATCATGGGTTTGTGGTTACAAGACCTGGGGCTGAATGGATTCACCACCAACTAACTAAGAGACCTTGAGTAGGTTGTTTCATCATGTGTAAAATGAGAGCTACCTGGCCAGGCACAGTGGTTCATGCGTATAATCCCAGCACTTTGGTAGGCCAAGGAGGGTAGATCACTTGAGCTCAGGAGTTCAAGACCAGCCTGGCCAACATGGTAAAACCTCATCTCTACTAAAAATACACACACACACACACAAAGTAGCTGGGGGTGGTGGTGCAAGCCCAGCTACTAGGGAGGCTGAAACAGGAGAGTCGCTTAAACCCGGGAGGCGGAAGTTGCAGTGGGCCAAGATTGTGCCATTGCACTCCTAGCCTGGGTGACAGAGCGATACTCCATCTTGGGGAAAAAAAAAAAAAAGATAGCTACCTTAAGGTAGGTCAAGTGTTTAGCACATAGTAGATGTGCAAAACTGTTTCTTTATATTACATTATAAGTAATTATATTACCATTTCCTTATTTTAAGCAGCTCTCAGGCTTGCAAGGCCCCAGGGTCACAAAACAAAATATCTCCACTCTAAAAGTGTGCTCTTTCAGAATGCTACAGACTCAAATGGAATTTGCTAACAGGAAAAAACACTTTTTCCTAAAAGTAGCGTGTTTCCTGAGCAAGTTGCATTCACTAGAGAGTATATCTACCAGCAACCTCCTAGAATAAACCACAGCATGATTCACAATAGTCAAAAGTTGAAGCAACCTAAATCTCCACTAACAGATGAATGAATAAACAGAATGTGTACACCCACACAATGAAATATTACTCAGCCGAAAAAGGAATGAAGTTCTGACACATGCCAAAATATGCACAAACCTTGAAAACATTACACTTAGTGAAATAAGTCAAATGTCAAAGGACAAATATTGGACGATTCTACTGCAGGCAGGTACCTGGGTTAGTCAAGTTCAGAGTAGGACAGTAGAGTGGGCAGCCACCACACCTTGAATGACTGTAATTTCTACCATCAGTTGCTTCCTGATTTAAACAAAATTAAAAACTAAAAAATAAAGTAGAACGCCAGTTACCAGGGACCAAGGGAAAGAGAGAATGAGGAGTTAATGTTTAATGGGTATAGATTTTCTGTTCAGGATGATGAATACGTTCTGGAAATAGATAGTGGTGATGCTTACACAATATTGTGAATGTACTTAATGCTGCTGAACTATACACTTAAAAATCCTTAAAATGGCAAATGTTATGTATATTTCACCACAATTGTTTAAAAATATTAAAGATATTCCTCTGTCCATAGAAGGCTATCCACAGACACATTGATAAGAACATACTCTGCTTCCTGAGGTCTGAGCCTCGCCTCCCCATCAGCATCTCGCTCCAATCTCAGCCTGGCCTGACTCATTGCCCCATTAACAAGTTCCACCTCACCCATGGGCCCTCCTGAGCCCAGAGCACCCAGCCCTTACTGTGGGCAACTCACCCGGCCGGAGGTTCACGGCAATCTCCTGCGGCGTCATCTGAATGACATCCCAGCCTGCGGAGCCGGAACCTTTGCTGCTGAGGGGCAGGCTCCGCAGGACACGGGAGCTGCTGGCTGGGCTCTCCATCTGGCCTCCACAACCATTTCTCATAAGGTTTGCCCTCAAATCACACCGAGAGATGACTGACCGTGGGCTGCCAAAGTCCTAGGCAGGGAAACAGAGGAAGAGAGCAGGAGGTGGTCAGGATGTCTCCAGAAAACATCTCCATCCAGCTCACCTTAAATTCTCTACATTCCATTTTCATTGTCTGAAAATGGAGGAAATGGTTATCCCTATCCCAGATGCCTCACCAAATATTGTAAGGATTAACTGAGCTGCTGTATATTAAGGATTTTGTAAACTGTAAATACATAAGAAAAATGTTCAGTTTCAGGCCGGGCGCGGTGGCTCAAGCCTGTAATCCCAACACTTTGGGAGGCCGAGGCGGATGGATCACGAGGTCAACAGATGGGAGACCATCCTGGCCAACATGGTGAAATCCCGTCTCTACTAAAAATACAAAAAATTAGCTGGGCATGGTAGCGCGTGCCTGTAATCCCAGCCACTCAGGAGGCTGAGGCAGGAGAATTGCCTGAACCCAGGAGGCAGAGATTGAGGTGAGCCAAGATCGCGCCATTGCACTCCAGCCTGAGTAACAAGAGCGAAACTCTGTCTCAAAAAAAAAAAATGTTCAGTTTCATTCTTATTTTGATGGTTAAAATGCTCCTAACTGCCTACATGATTAGCAAGGGAAATGGAAACGATCAAAAGTTGTATAGTTAAATTTATTAAAAAGTTGCTATATATTGCTGGGTGTGGTGGCTCAAGCCTATAATCCCAGCTACTTGGGAGGCTTAGGTGGGAGGATCACTTGAAATCAAGAGTTTGAGACCAGCCTGGGCAACATAATGAGACTACATCTCTAAAAATAAATAAATAAGTAAATGAAATAATATATAGTTAAACAAATAAGATGACATATAAGTGGCTGAAAAGTCTTACCCCGGGCATTCAAGAATTAACCTTTGAGCTGTTCACTCATTATCTTTTCAGCCACTGGATGCTAAATCATCGTTCAGGAGAACAACATGGCAGTACAGGTCATATCCACTGACCTAGTGCTCTACTCCAAGAAACTTCTTACAAGAAAATCAGCCAAAGAGAAAGGAAGCATTCTATGTGATATCTATTATAATATTATTTATAATATAATCTTTAAAACTTGCCAACCTAAATCCTTACCATAAGAATAACATAGCATATCAATTCAATAGATGACAGTCATTACTAATAATTACGGGGTTTAAGAAAAAATTTAAAACATTTACACTAAGGAGGAAAAAACCCCAGAATATAGAATTATATTTATTAGAATTTGAAAGAAAAATTTTAAATGAGGTGTTATAGTAAAGGGACGAAAACATTTTTGCTTTTATATTTGTTGTTTGTATGATAATGACACACTGATAAAAAAAAATCTTTCTTTGGGTTTGGGAGAAGCTGGTCATCAGAATGACCCAACCTCATTTGGGACACCAGGAGTTTAAAGTATTAATTTTAAAATGAAACACTATACTTTGTTATAAAACATGAAGCCTCCCAGGTCCTTTCCGGCAGAAGGGATTTTAATGGCAAAGCAAGCCCAGGCTTCTCTCTGAGCACCTTTTCACTGGCGAATGTGAAAAACAAGATCACCCCCTCCGGCAGGCAGGAGGCCAGTGCTGTCTTATGAGCCTTCATGGAGGAGTTAGGACACTGATCTCCTCCTCTTCCCTCAGGAACACTTTGCCAGAAGCCTCACGTGAGTCAGCATCCCTTGACCACTTTGTTAGAAGCCAGACTGCTGGCAGAGGCACAAAAATCAGAGGAATGCACCCTCCCTCAGGGTCTCAGATATCCTGGAACTACACAATGCCCTTTAGAATCCTTGTAAAATTCAAGACAAAGAAGTCAGCCTGGTGTGGTGGCTCACACCTGTAATCCCAGCACTTTGAGAGGCTGAGGCAGGAGGATCATTTGAGCCAGGAGTTCAAGGCTGCAGTGAACTGCGATTGTGCCACTGCACTCCAGCCTGGGTAACAGAGCAAGAGCTTTTCTCAGAAAAACAAAAGACAAACACAAAAAAGAACAAGAAGTCAAGAAGACTCTGCAGTAATTTTAAATAAGTAAAACCGGATGTATTGTCCTAAGCCTATGGTATGTTTGTTTGTTTTCTAGGTGTCCTTTTTTTTAAGTAACAGTTTTTTATTTGTGCATTAAATCCCTGAGGATCTTGCCTGTCAACAACCTCCAGGACTACACCATAAGTGGCTCCATAAACACTTGTTGTGGAACAAGATTAGAAAAATGAGTTTTCTGGCCAGATATGGTGGCTCCTGCCAGCATTTTGGGAGCCTGAGGCAGGAGGATCGCTTGAGCTCAGGAGCTCAAGTACACATATATATATATATATATATATATATATATATATATATATATACACACACACACACATACACACACACACACACACACACACGCACACATATTATTCTGGCCTTAAATTTAAAAGCAGAGCTTTCCAAGTGGGGTTCCAGGTGGTCAAGCTTGGCTCTGATAGATCAGTTCTAGTGAAGCAGAGAGAAAAGCACAGCTGTTGGGGAAAGGAGGGGTAACCACCTGAGGCCCTACCAGTTTGGGTCTGCTGTCTTGAGCTGTCTGAAGTAGATGTCTAATTAGGTTTCCAGAGCTTGAAGAGCACAGGAGCTTGCCTGCCCAGTGCTTACTCTGCTAGTGAACTTCTGAATTTCTCACTGGCAAACTGAGCCCTGCAATCCAGCCCCTGTGCTCTGAGGAGCTGACTATACTTGGCCCAGTTCTGTTTGTCAAGGTGCACTTGTTTTGATCAGTCCAGTGCAGCCCCACCACCAGGATGGCAATGGAAGCACGGTCAGTCTCAGAGTGATGGGAACCCCTGACACTCCTCCTGCTGGTCTGGACCAGCTTATACTCTGGAATATACCAGGGCAAGGAGCCAACCTGCTTTACCTAAGCAGGAGGCAGGTACACAATTCCATGCCTCCTGAGATGATCCCCCACTGCTGGGATACCTGTACTGTCAGTGAACTTCATCTGAGCTTCCCAACATTCTGCTCAAAGAGATTTTTGATGGACACTACCCATCATTGATGAAGGACTTGTACAGGGCCAAATGTACCTGCTGGGACCATCAGGAGACTTAAAGCCCAAATCATATTTACCAGAACTGAAGAACTGAGGCAGCCAGGTCAGTGCCAATTACAACCTTAAGAGTGTTGCTGGCTTCCCCAAGTGCACACTGTAGCAGCTCTGAGGCTTCTTTATCCTCTAGGATGTTTGGAGAAGGCCTCTTCATGCCCTTCATTGGTAGCAGCTTTCCCATGTTTCTCCTTAAAAACATTCTTCAGCTGGGGTTGTGATAAACCTCAGCTCCAAAGCACCCGAGGCTTCCCTGAAGTTAGCTGCACCAGCAACAAGAATCATGGGCTCCTGCACTGTCCTCTGGTTGCCAGTGTGAAAACCACCGTTAATCACATTAAAGCTGCAACATGCAGGGTTGCATTGACCTCAGAAGTGCAGACCAAGTGAGCAACATGATGGTACAAAGGGACTCCCATTCTCAGCAGCTCCAGCCTTGGAGACAGCAAGGGACACCCCATATGCCATGTGGACCAAAGTGAGATTTCTTCTTAGTGCCGTGCATCTCTATCCTCTATCATCAATGTCAAAGTTCGTTTTCTTGCTACCTGGGGCAGGCTAGATGGCTTTACTGATGTGCTCAACAACTTTGAGATGTCTTTACCTATATATTGAGTCCTGTCATTGACCCAGAGATCTAGGGACTCAGAGCCACTAGCTGAGGCACCATGAGGCATAGGAGCTCTGAGGGTAAGGCAGCTACCTCAATAGGAGAATTCCCCCAGGAGGTGAAGATCTTTTTTACGGAGTCTGAAAAATAGCTGTGACTAATTTCTTTTGATTGATTTATTTTTGGCTCAATAAGGAAGGAGTAAGCCATGACTGATTTTTAGCTGTAGGTTCATGTAGACCAAGAAAAGGAACTGAAAGTGCCGCAGACCTCAACAGAGGGAGATGGGCAACAAACCAAGAGCTTCATCTCTATTTCGTGTTTTCTTTTCTAGGTAATTTTGTTTTTATTTTTATTTTTGAGACAGTCTCACTGTCACTCAGGCTGGAGTGCAGTGGTGCGATCTCAGCTCACTACAACCTCTGCCTCCCAGGTTCAAGTGATCCTCCTGTCTCAGCCTCCTGAGTAGCTGGGATTACAAGTATGTGCTACTATGCCTGGCTAATTTTTGTATTTTTAGTAGAGACAGCATTTTGCCATGTTGACCAGGCTGGTCTCAAACCCCTGACCTCAGGTTGGCTGCCCAAAGTGCTGGGATTACAGGCGTGAACCACAACTCCTAGATATTTTAATCTTGAACAAGGATAGACGCATATTTAAAGAGAGAAAACCAAAATGACAGAGACCAGGTACATATCTTGTAATGACTAAGACCTTCAAGGTACACAAACATAAATCAAGAAAATGTCCCTTAATCCTTAATAGTTTAAGGTTTAAAAAAAAGAAAATGTCTTGATACCTATATTTCTAAGCTCTGAATTCAATAAATACAGACAACTCAAATCATGAAGCCTTGGAGAAAAGGCAGACTCGTGACTTAGAAAATTTTCCTTCCTCAGCTAATTAATGCAGGAACAGAAAACCAAATCCCACGTTTTCACTTATTAGTGGGACCTAAACATTGAGCACCCAAGGACATAAACATGGGAACAACAAATACTGTGAAATACTGGGGCGGGGCGGTTATGGGTCAAAAAACTTCCTGTTGGGTACTATGTTCACTACTTGAGTACAATATCCCCATACAACAAACCTGCACATGTACCCCCTGTATCTAACATAAAAGTTGAAGAAAAAGAAAATCCTCCTCACATGAATGACATCCTGATGTCTGAGTGTGTAAGAGCTTCAGATCCCAGAGACCCGACATTTGGACCCTCTGCCAGGTGTCAGACGTAGCAAGTTCCAAGGGGAAGGGCCCTTGACTGCATCACCTGGTGCCATGGCCTGGCTTCCACAGGTGGGGATCAGAGGTCCACATGCCTAAGTTCACCCAAGA